CATCTCTTGCAGCGCGGGACTCCTCCAGATGCTCTCCCTGGGATGGTCGCGACTCCTTCAGCCACAGCTCAGTCCTCCTGCCCGACCCCAGTCATCTGCCCTGCAGCACCATCAGAAAGCTTTCCTTGCCACCTCTGCCCACTACAGCTGTCATAAATGTCACCACTAGCTAGCTAGCTAGATATCTAACTCTGAACCAGTGTCCCGGGTCACCCAAACTGACGCTCCATCTTGCCAACCCCAAAAGCCTGTTAAAGGCTTATGGCTAACCATGGCTAACCAGACGTGGTATGGTTCAACAACTGAAGTAAAAGCTGCAAGGGGATGTTTTCCCACAAATGAAAGAGTGACAAATAAGTACATTTCAGGTGTCTATAGCTGAGTAGAGTGGGCTCCTATCTTAGAATGCAGAATCAAAGTAAGACAGGGCAGAGGAAGGATCACCTAAGACAAGTAAGGACTGTGCAGGAGCTCTTTCCAAAGTAATACCCTCCTTGAAGAGAGGAAGATATGAATTCTATTCCAGAAGCTTGCATGCATGCGCGCGCGCGTGCGTGCGTGTGTGTCTGCACATGTCTTAGTTTGGGTTTCTATTGCTGTGAAGAGACACCACAACCAGAGCAACCCTTATAATGAGACATTTAATGGGGTGGCTGACGACTGCAGAGGTTGAGCCCGTTTTCATCACGGTTGGGCATGGAGGCAAGCAGGCAGACCTGATACTGGAACTGAGAGTTCTGTATCTTGATCAGCAGGCAACAGGAAGTGAACTGTCTCACCGGTGTGGCTACAGCATATGAGACCTCGAATCTGGCCTCCACAGTAACATACTTCTGTCAACAAGACCACACCCCCTCCAGCAATGCCACACCCCCTAACAGCACCACTCCCTTTAGAGGCCATTTTCTTTAAACCATCACATTCCTCTCCCTGGCCCTCAAAGGTGAGTAGCCATATCATAATGCAAAAATGCATTCAGTCCAACTTCAAAAGTCCCCGTAGTCTGTAACAGTCTCAAACATGCTTAAATATCTAAAGTTCAAAGTGTCTTCTGAGATTTATATAATCTCTTAACTGTAATCCTCTATAAAATAAAAATGAAAAAACAGATCACATACTTCAAACATATAATGACATAGGATACACATTACCATTCCCAAACATGGAAACAAGCATAGTGAAAAAGTACTGAACCAAAGCATGAACAAAAGCAACTGAGCAAACTCTGAAGTCTGCATCCCCTATCTGATGTCAAAATGCTCTTCAGATCTCCAATTCCTTTCAGCTTTGATGACTGTAACACACTTCTTTCTCTTGGGCTGGTGCCACTCTCTGTTAGCAGCCCTCCTCAGGTATCCCATAACTCTGGCATCTCCAACACCTTGAGGTCTTGAAGACAAACGATGCTTCAACGTCACAGCCTCACAAATCGGGTCTCTCTAGCTTTTTATTCGGAGACACCCCTGACACTGCCTTTTCAGTGGCTTTTCTTAGTTGCAGAGGCAAATTTCATAACCCTTTTCTTCTACCCTTAACTCTCAAGCAAGAACCATGTGGACAAGGCTGCCAAGGACTAGAAGATGGCCACCTTGTTCAACTTCATCTTCACCAGATTCTATTTTTGATGGTTACTTCTCTGCCTAAGCTTGGCTGCCCTAGAACTTGCTTTGTAGAGTAGTCTGGCCTCAAACTCAAAGATCTGCTAGCCTTTGCCGTTCAAACACTGGAATTAAAGGCATCCACCACCACCGCCCAGTTTTTATTCCATCTCTTATTTATCTCCTTGAACACAGGACTTGGCTCCATTCTATTTCCTAGTGCTTCTTCTCTCCTCAAATTTTATATTTTATAATTTACCCTGCTCAGCTTGCTCCCTTTCATTATAAATCTTCATTAGAATTACCACTGATAACCACAATAGAGTCGATACTAGGCTGTTTTGAGATTTTCTATGCCAAGAGAATTAATCCAAAACTCTTTAGCCTCAGGCAAACTCTTCAGACAAGGGCCAAAAGCAGTCACTTTCTGCACCAAAATATCACAAGAACAATCTCTAGGCAACATACTAAAATTCTTTTCTTCTGAAACCAGCCAGGCGTGGTGGTTCACGCCTACAATCAGCATTCAGGAGGTTGAGGCAGGAAGGCGGCAGTGACTTTGCAGTCAGCTCAGGCTATAGAGTTTGAGGCCACCCTGTGTTAAGAGTGAAACCCTGTCTAAAATACAAAACAACAGAAACAAAAATAGGAACCTCCTAGCGATATACTTCCCCCAACTTGGCCTCTGCTCCCAGAGTTTCTGTTGCCTCCTCACAGTCCCACCAGCCCTGGGTGAAACTTTTAGTACAAGCGATAACTGTGCAATTTTGTACATATGTGATAAACCAATCAGATTATACACCCCAAATAAGTGACCTCTATAATTTTTATATCCAAGCTTCCTTAGACTACAGCTGAATCCTAAGATTGGCTAGGCCAATCACGAAATCTGTGAAGATTTCAAAAATGTCACTCATCAGCTAGATTTGAAGGAACCACGAACTCTGCTAGGTAGAAAAGACAAGCAAATGTTCCAGACAAAGACAGCCGACACAAGGCAGAAAGGCACTTGGGAAAGCACGTCATTGCTTCTTAGCGAGTATTCAGTAATGTAGGTCAAAGAGACAGGTCAGAGGGTGCTGAAGGCAAGACCAAGCCTGTTTGTGCAGGCAGGACCAGTCACAAAGGAATATTTGGTCAAGCTAGCTTTCCAGGAGGAAGAGGGGAAAACAGTGAAGAAGAGTCTCAAAGAACATTCAGAGGGGGGACTGAAAGGTGGGAATTACTGTGGAGAAGTGAAACTCACGATTTTAACCAGAAAGGAAAATAATAGTACTAAGCCTAGTGGCCTCTTGGTTAAACACTTGCCTGGAAGCAGATCCTTTCATTGCTAAGGTGACCACCACCATCCTCCCCACAGATGAAACCCACCTGGTTTGTGCTTCCTCTGCTCTCCTTGGGGAGATGCAGCTTCCTCGTGCCCTGAGTTTTTCTCCTGGTACTTCACTTCCATTTAATGCGCTTCACTTTCAAAATCTTTTTTAAAGATTCTCTTTCTGCATACGAATAAAGGTTCATAAGAATAGGTTAGTTTGAATTTTTCCTTGAGTTCTGAATTCTCAGTTGAGTTCCTGGTACTGGGTCAACTCCCAATCCATACTTTTTGAATAAATGGATACATAAATAAGGAAATTGAGTCTCACAGAAGTAACTTGTCTATGAAAATACAGATATTAAGTTGAGCATTGATTCAATAACCACTATTTATTTATTTGTTTATTTATTTTTATTTTTTAGAGTCAGGGTTTCTCTGTATCTTTGGTGCCTGACCTGGAACTAGCTCTTGTAGACCAGGCTGGCCTCAAACTCACAGAGAATAGCCTGCCTCTGCTTCTCAAGTGCTGGGATTAGCAATAACCACCCCCTCCGATTTATGAAAGTGGCAACAGGGAAAGGAGACTGAGTTGCCTTGATTTGGTGCTGGAATGGATGTCGAAGGGCAATAAAAAGTTGCAACATGAGTTGATTTTAGCGTCTAGATTGGGCAAGTAGTGCACCTTTTCAGGAAAAAATAAAGACCCTAGGTTCAACAGAAGAAGGAAAGAGGCGCATGGCAAGGGAATCTTTTTTTTCACGACTTTCTAAATAGTGTTAATACGATGTAACAAGTAAATCTAAACTCCCAGTGGAGAAGGGCAGTCTGGCGAGAAAGACACAAAAGAGTTTTAGGCAAACAAGAGTTCAAAGCCAGTCTTTCTTTGAAACAAGGTATTGCTATGTAGCCCTGGATAGTATTAAACTCACAGCACTTCTGCCTCAGCCTCGCAAACCAAGGGATTACAGAAAGTCAGGCACAATCCCTAGCAGATGCTCAGACTATCAAAAAATAGGCAATCTACTTCGTTTTTTTCCAAATTTTCTGGACGGTGACTGTCGCTTACACACAGTGTGGAAGAACGTCGTAGCACCAAGCCAGGGTGGGCCAGGAAGACGCGGAGGCACCGGGCGGCCGTGCACACACTACGGCACGCGACCTTAGGGACCATTCCCAGGAGCTCGCGCCGCAAACGACTTCCAACCCCTGGCAGGGCGCGAAGCCTCGGCGCGCCACCCGTGTCCCGCGGCCTCCAGACCACAGGGGGCGCTGTGGATCACCAGGCGTGGCCACGGCGCGAGCGCGCGGTCTCTCCCTGGTGCGCATGCTCGCCTCGGGCTGGCTTTTTTTTTTTTTC